ATCTATTCACGAACAGCTTGTAACACTCCAAAGAGAAAGGAAAACTTGAAATCGCATCATATGACCCCTTTAATATTAGCTGTGTTAGTCCCAACTGATGGCCTATAAAAAGGTGTCTAATTACCAACGTGTCACACAAGAAACATTTCATGATGGGTAACAGCACAGAGCTCTCTCAAGACCTTCACAGTTGCAAAACATACTGATGCACTGGTTACAGAAGTATTTATATACTTCTGAATGTTCCAGTGAGCACTGTTGGGGCCATAATCCGGAAGTGGAAAGAACATAATTTCACCATAAACCGGCCACGACCAGGTGCTCCTCACAAGATTTCTGACAGAGGAGTGAAAAGAATTATCAGAAGAATTGTCCAAGAGCCAAGGACCACTTGTGGAGAGCTTCAGAAAGATCTGGAATTAGCAGGTACAATTGTTACAAAGAAAACAATAAGTAATGCACTCAACCGCCATGGCCTGGAAGAGTTTTCTAAGAGCCAAGGACCACTTGTGGAGATCTTCAAAAAGACCTGGAATTAACAGGTACAATTGTTTCAAAGAAAACATTAAAGGGTTAGTTCATCCAAAAATTAAAATTAGCTTGTGTTTTACTCCCGCTCGAGGCATCCTAGGTGTATATGACTTTCTTCTTCCAGACGAATCCAGTCAGAGTTATATTAAAAATTGTCCTGGCTATTCCAAGCTCTATCATTGCAGTCAGCGGGTGTTGCTGTTGAACAGTCCACAAGTCGTCAAATAAAGCGCGCGCATTCATAATAAAACGTGCCGCAGATGGCTCCGGGGGATGAATAAAGGCCCCCTGTAGCGAATCCATGTGTTTTTGTAAGAAAAATATCCATATTTCAAACACATTAAACACTTTTCTCTCACTTCCGTTATCTGTCACGGAAGCCGTTCCGGCGGAGCAGGAGTCCTCCGGCGGCGGGTCATTCCATATTATTGTATAGCAGCAGCATACATATTTAATTGTTTTGTTTTCTTCTTCCAGCTTTGTTGGGGGGTTATTTTATATGCTATTTGTGCAGCAGCAGTATGTCTTAAATACTCACGACACCGTATCACCATATGCATTGGCAGTAGCAAGTTCCTTTACTTGCTTGCAGCAGCAGCAATAATCTACAACTACAGCAATAACCTTCAGCAGCAGCGTAGCAGCTCTATTCTGCCAAGACCAAATACATTAACACTGTCATATCCATCACCATGCTAAAATCTTCAGAGAGTTGTCATGATTGAAATGTATAGTTCAGTCATGAAACTCTAGATGGCGCAGGCGACGGGTTGTTAACGTAACTGATGATATTCAGCTGATTGGTTCATGCTGCATATGCAGCCAATGAGCTTACTGAAACTCTCCACCTTCCCCAGCTCCACCTGTATAGATCTGCTATGGGGTTATTTTATATGCTATTTATGCAGCAGCAGTATGTCTTAAATATTCATGGCACCATATTGCCATAGTTACTGTACTTGCTTGCAGCAGCAGCAATAAACTACGACTACAGCAATAACCAACAGCAGCAGCAATTCAGCAGCAGCATAGGAGATCTATTCCTATTCCACCAAGACCAAATACATTGTCATATTCATTACCATGCTAAAAGTTGTCATGATAGAACTAAACTAATGCAATAAATCTGGCCATGAACGGACGTGAACAAACTGTAAAGCATTAATATCTAACGGTTTCCAGATAAACAAATTGCTCATTGTGATTGTGAGTCAGTGTGGCTTAGGAGGTGTGTCTGTGCTGAGTCACCAGATCTGTTGTAGTACTCTTCTTCACCCAGTCACAGACCACTGACTCTTCACTCCTCAACAACACACAGCTGCTGAATCACACACACACACTATTCATGAGTATTGCAGCCACTGTGACTTTTATTAAAAAAAAAAAAAGTATGTGAACCTGTAGGCATATGCAAATTTTTTATAACAATAATATGCTTTGTTGTTGTCACATGACCTTGTAACTTGTTTAGTTATCATTTTTAAAGTTTTGGGAAAAAAAGTCAACTTTTGAAAGTCTGATCAAACACCAAATCAAAATAAAGTTACTAAAAATCTAATCTGTTCATCACATTGCAAATGTCATGTCATAACTGCAACATATCAAATTTTCATATGGTGTATGTTGAGATATGTATCCCTGTATTGATTTATACATCCTGTTCACCTTTAAACCGGTATTTTAAACTTGTCTTGGATATTTTGATCATGCAATATCTGCCGTCTAATTATAGTCAGGTATAGTGGAATATGCCGGCCCACCTGTCCTCTTAATTCCCTCCTGCACATGTGCTGCAGTGAGCTGTGTTTGAGTCAAATGAGCTCTGACTGTGAGCTGCCTCCTCTCCTCTCCTATGGCTTCGGCTCATATGTGTGTGTGTGTGTGTGTGTGTGTGTGTGTGTGTGTAGGGGGGAGGGGGGGATCAGAGGTCAGATGCAGGTTGTAAGCATGCATGAGGAGTGAGAGTGTGCGCGCATGCGTGACCGGATTGTGTTTGTCATGCAGGAAGGTTCAACATCACATTGCACAGAGGCTGAAGATCACTGCCTGGTGTTGGCTCAGATTGATATGTTCAGAATCGCATACTAACATACTGCTCTTACTACCTCTGTAGAGTGCAGTAGTATTCAAAATGTGCAATAGTACCACATTTGACAAAATGTGTAACATACTAATATCCTGCTCTTTACTATTTATGCAGTGTATAATAGGTATGCTGTGCACGATATTCAGATTTTCTCTGTATGGGTTCTCCGGATGTAGTAGTCTACTACACTGCATGGAAGACTTCATCCCACAATCCAGTGCACTCAACTTGACCTTCCATTTCCAGTGCAATGAATTGACTGTAAGTCAATTCTAATCAATATT